GCTGAGGAACGTGACAGACCAGTCTTGGCCCCCATAATCACGACCCGTGCCCACACTTCTTTGCCCGGGAGTGCAGGGAGCTCCGGGAACTCCCATGAGAGGACTTTGATGGACTCTGTAGACACTGGTTTCTGGTGACCGTGGTGGTTGCAGGGCTACTCTTGGGACACCAGGCTGATTTGCCCAAATGTCCCCTTCAGAAGTGTCTCCCGATGGCCTTGCAGGATGGTGGTCCCCTCCCCCTTTCCTGCTTTAGCTCCCTCCCTGGCACCTGGCGCCACCCTGTTGGCTCGTTGAGTGTCTGTTTCCCCCACTCTGAAGAGTTCACTCTGGGAGGGCATCTCCCTCCTTCCCAGGTCTGGAATGGTCTTGGCCAGTGGTTCACGTGGTGACGTCTGACCTTGGCTGGTTAGCAGGCCCCCATGTCCCCAGCGGGTCCTCGACCAGAGCCTTCTGGTCAGACAGTGCCAAGGTCCAGCCCTGAGTGGCCCAGCAGGATGAGATGGGGATGTGAGCGGGCGGCGCGGGTCGGAGGCCCCAGAATGTGCAGGGCGTTGACCTGCATGTGGTGGGTAGGGAAGGGTTTGCATTCAGGGCTCAACCCCCAGAAGCCAGGGTCGATCTGAGGTGGGCAGCTACCACCCTCTTGGGGTGCTCACCCAAGTCCTCAGGGGCTGAGTGTGGGGAGAGGTGGGGTAAAGAGATGGTGCTGGGGCTCCTTTGCCCCCCTTTCCCAGGGCCACAGGGCTCCTCGGTGGTTCATAACAGGCTCTGTGTATAAGGAAGGGGCCACGCCCACTTCCCTCTGAGGCCCAGATCAAGTGACCACCCCAACCCTTTGCACACTCACTCCTTCTGGGGGCCTGCCTGGCTCCCTTGGTGACCAGGGCTGCCCACGGCACCCCCCCACAGCCCTGTTCCTCTGCTCCCTCTCCTCCCATCACAGGGGCCTGGTCTCCGCCCCCTCCGTGGGCCCCCGTGAGAGGGGACTTGGGACTAGGGGAAACTGGGTGGGGTCTGGGGGCAGATGCATGGCCTGGGGGCTCAGGAGCTGGGGCCAGCCCTGCTGTTGGGTGACCACGTGGTGGCTCCTGGACCCCCCAGGCTGGTCCTGTGGCAGGTAGGAGGCAGGTGTGTGGGACCTGGGGCTCAGGGCTCCTTGGGGGTGACCCCAGAGATGGTGGGGTCCTGCTGGGATGTCCCTGGCTCCCCTAATACTACGATGCTGGTCAGCCTCCTGCCAGTGCCCGTGACTCACCTGGCAGGGTCTGGGACAGTGGGTCCCTGAGTGGGGATCCCTGTGGACATGGCTGGCAGAGACCACTTGGCTGGGGGCTTCTCATGGGTGCTGGTGCGGTGAGCACTGCCCACAGGGTTCCACTCTGCTGCTCACATGGTGTCCTGGAGCCACATCCGGGATTCCTGTCCCACCTGCACCTTCCCTGAGCAGCATCCGCATGACTATCTCGGGTGCCACTGTCTGGGACTTGGTGTCCCTGTGGCCGCCCTCCTGGTCAGTCTTAGGAAGCGAGGACAGTTGTGTTCAAATCATAGGCACTGCAAAGTGGGGGCCGCATGTCCCTAACCCCATGGCCCCACCCTCAGCCCCACCCCTGACACTCCCCCAACCCCATGGCCCTGCCCTGGCAAGTCCCCCCCCCTTCACAGCCCCGCCCCTGACACGCCCTGACCCCCCACAGCCCCGCCCCAGCACACCCCTCACGTTACATCCCCACCCTCTGCACGCCCTGACCCCACAGCCCCGCCCCGGCACACACTCACCTGCTGCTGCCTCCTGGCCGGGAACCCCTGCCGGAGCTGCCTCCTCCTCACACCCTCGGGAGGTACTGGCTTCGCAGGTGTGCAGGCACAGGTGACACAGTTGCCGTGACTCCCTTATGCTTCTGGCTTGTTATTTAATACATTTTGCTTCCCATCCCTTTCTTCTCCAGGAGAGACTAACCTCAGGAACTTGTGCTTATTCTCTAAGGTGGAGGTGATAGTGGCTGGGCTCTCTTGCTGGTTCACAGCTCGGGGGGCCAGAGGCTTAGGGCTCCACGCTGTGCGGGCTGCTTGGGGTCCTGGGGGAGGCCACCAGAGCACGCACCCATGCACAGGAAGATGCTGGCTTCGTTTCCCAGGGCAGTATAGGACTGGATTCCAGGTACCCATATGCCAAGTGCCAGGGTCAGGGGCCTGGCACAGCAGGTGCCATGTGGCTGTCCTAGGCATGCACGTGGGTGTGGACCACCACCCTCGTCCTCAGCTCTGTTGGGAATGGCCAATGCTGTGCCAACCATGGGCTTCTGTGCCCGCTGGGGCTCTTCTGCCTCTACTGGGTGCTCCAAGAAGGAGCACAGGGGTCTCTAGGCAGTGGCAGCCTGGGCCTGGGTGGAGCCTAGGTGGACAGAGGGTCCTTGGACCCAGAGCCGCCCAGCAGAGTTCATCTCCCCAAGCTGTAGGCAGCCAGCTCAGCCCTGGGTCTTGCCCTGACACCCTGTCCCCTCCCCACTGCAGGGCAGGCCCCGCAGACTCTGAGGTCCATCCCGTTGGGGTTGGCTGCTGGATGGCATCGGTGTCCCTGTCTCCCTGCCATGGCCCAGCTGCCCTCTCGTTCCCCTCCCTCCTCCAGTTCAGCCCCGTCCATCACACGTGCCAGTTCGCAGCCCACTTTCCTTTAACATCTGGTGACATCGGGTGACGCCACATGGCGGCAGCTGCTCCCTGCCTGTGGGGCTGTGGCCCGGGCTGCCTCGGAGTGGCTTCGCTGGTGCCAGAGCAGCCTCTGCCTTGATGACATAATCTCTGTTTGGGCATGCGTAGGTTTTCCTGAGGGAGGAGGCTGGGATGCAGGGTGGGGTGGCTGCCGCCTGGAGCTGGGGATCTTGGGGGCTGTGCCAGCTTGTGGGTGTCGGCCACAGGTCTCATCTGTGCAGCACAGTCTGTCCTCTGCGGCCTCTCTGCCCAGTGCCCAGCTCTGATGCCTGGCAGCCTCTTCTCTAACCCCTTGAAACCCCACCCCCTCCATCAACCCGGTCCTGACCCCCTGTGCCAGTCAGTGTCCCTCTAGGCACTTGCAGAGGGGAGGTGAGGAGCGCCTTTCTAAGGCGCTTAAATCAGACCGCTCTCCCCCACCTCTGCAGAGTCAAGCCCCACTGCCGTCTTGTGCAGAGGAGACCAAGGCCACAGGTCACAGCCCCTTTCTCACCCCCAGGTGCTCTGCTGACCGCCCTCCCACTTCACCCACTGACCAGCTTGTGGATCTGTCCATACGGTGGGGTCCTTTTCCTGCCTGTGCCCAGGCTGGCCCCTCACCTGGGCACCCTCTCCCTGCCCCCTGCTGATGCTCACTTGTCTGGAGGGCCCAGCACAGGCATCCTCTCCCCAGGATACGACCCTGCACCTTCACGCCGGCTCTGCCCTGTGCTCCAAGTCCTGAAGCCTCCATGGGTCCTTGTCGTGGCGCCCGTAGCTCAGGCTGAAAGACCTCTGGGTGTGTGACTCTGTCCCCAGGGTCCATGAGGATGGACACTTTGTCTGCTGTGTCTGTGCTGAACCCTGGTGCTATCCTGGAGCACCCTGGGAAGGGAATGGGCATTTTCCAGTTCAGAGGAAAATGTGAAGAAACCTTTCTTCTAGAAACTGTTCTATCTCCTCCTCCACACACCAAGTGCCTAAAGCACTTGCCCCACCAACGGCACAGGGTTAGGGTTAGGGAGCAGTGGAGATGAGATGAGACTCCAGGCCGTGCCTCCCAGAAGTGGTCAGTACCCACCCCGGTGTCTCCCTCGGTCTGCCTCTGGCCTTGGCTGTGTCTTCCCTGCCTTTAAAATAACCATGTTTGTGTGTTGCGGGGGCGGGTTCCAGATGTCGAATTCCCCACAGAATAAGTTAACATGAGGCTGGGGTAAAAGCGGGTAAATAAGTGAAATGTTGTGAACCAGTGGGTGTCCTAAACCTGGCTCCAGGGCACAGGGCCTTGCAGTGAGAGCCATGTGCAGGCCCTTCATGGGTGCAGCACACTGGGGGTGCAGACCCGGGGACACGGGCTTGGGGGTGCAGAATTGGGGACATAGGCCTGGGGACACAGGTGGAGGCAGCTGCTGGCCTGGGACTCATCTGGAGGGGCTCATCCTGGAGGCCAGTGGGTGACATTGTGGGACCCCCCATCTTATGTGTATGGAGAATGTCCTGGGTTTGAAAGGCAAGTGGAGGCGGTCTGGAAAGCCCATCAGAATCCCTTTCCTTGGTGTGGATAGAGGCTCCCTGGGCAGGGCACACGGGCAGGTCTCATGAGTGACAATTGGGGGGCCGTCCTTTTCCTGGAAGGGCTTGCAGGTGTGGGAAACGGTGCCTTCTGCAGCTTTGCATAGGCCTGCGGAATGGCCCTCGTGCTGGGCGCAGGCACTCCCAGGCCACTCAGGTCACGGTGGACACAGCTGCAGCCCTGAGCCTCCTCTCATTCATCTTGGGGCTGTTTGAAAACTCCCCCAGGCTTGCCCAGTGAGTGTCAGCAGGGCCGACGCCCCTGTCCTCTGGAGACGCGGAGCAGGGTGGAGGGGAACCAGGAACAGCTGCCCACGCATGCGTGGCTTCCCCCAAAACCCCGGGCCTGCCTGTTTGGGGGTGTTCACGGGACGGAGCAGCTTTCAGTGGGGGTGGCCGGTGCCCGGGACGGCAGCCCAGTGGAGTCGGACTCAGGCGTGTGTGGCTCGTTCTTGCTGTGTCCCTGCTGTGGTGGGCGCCTGCCTAATCCTGTAACAGTCCTGGGAATAGGACGTGCGTGACCCCAGGTCTTCACTGACTGGGGCTCAGCCCCTCCTGCCTCGCATAGGAGCGAGAGTTCAGCCCGCCCCACGGCGACCCTCTTCTAGGGTGAGGGGCCCTGGCAGCATTGGGGTGGGGGGTGTTGAGGTGAAGGAGCTGCTCTGGGGTGGGGGTTTGTGCCACGTGGGGCCTTCCTGCCACCTCACCACGTGTCCCTCTGTTTTATTCTGCAGTGAACTTTGACCACTTCCAGATCCTTCGGGCCATCGGGAAGGGCAGCTTTGGCAAGGTAAGGCAGGGCCTGGCGTGGGGATTGGGCTGACGGCTGAGGGGGCAGAACCGTGGAGCCGGACGTGCTGTCCCCTGAGTCCACCTACCCCCATCCTCCTCGGGAGAAGCAGCCTCACCCGGGCAGAGGCTCCAGGTCCTTTAGGGAGGGCGTGGGCGCTCCTCCTGTGGAGGCAGCCGGCTGTGCCACCATCAGACTGGGCCCCATGGTGTCACCAACACCGCAGCGTCCACGAGCCACGGGGACAAAATCGCAGCTTTGGCTGAACCGGAGCCCAGAGGCCGGGCTGTGCCTATGGCTGTTCCTCAGGGCCTGCAGGGGACAGGATGGAGGGTGGGTGCTGAGCGTGCATCCTCAGCTGGGCCCTGTCCTCTTCCCTATCCCTGTCTCCAGCCGCGTCCGGAATGCCCGGCTGCTGTCCTCCACGTAGGCCTGCTGGCTGGCCTGGACGGAGCCTGTTCCTTTACGCTCCTTTTGTTTTCTCTTGGCCAGATCTAACTTCCTGATTGCCGCCTTGTAATATCTAGAGATCAGGGGCAATTATAACTCAAAGAGGCTTAACGAGCACTCGGGAAAGGTTGAAATTAGCCCTGCGGCTTCTGCGCGAGGCTCTGTTGTGGATGAATCACTTCTGAATGGACAGTTCTTTTCAGCTGTCCCGGGAGGCTTAGCAGATGGGCTCTGCCTCCCTCCCGCTCCTGGCTGTACAGCTGCCTGGACACTGTCTATTTAAGCCCTATAAGCCCTTTTTAAAGCGATTGCCGGGCTACCGGAGTATAATACGTAGGGTATTTGAATGTGATTAATTACCTCCATTTCATTGTATCGCAAGCCATGGCTCTGCTGGGTTACTTGCGGCCTGGGGTGATGAAAAGTCAGAGTGAATGAGCCCCTTTGCGCAGTGCGCTGAGAAAGCTCCCGTGCACTGGGGAGAGAGAGCTTTTGAGTCCCTGCATGTGGGGAGGCGCCCGTGGACCTGCACCGTTTTGTTGCTGGTGAGGCCAGTTGAGCATCGAGGTGAGGTGCTGAAGCCGGCGGAGCCCGTCAGAGACACTCAGGGCTGTTGGGACTGACTCGGACCCTCCTGTCCTCCCAGCTGAGCCTCAGTTCTATTCCCCAGGCCTACAGCCGGTGCACGAGGGGCAGGCAGGATGGAGTTTGGGGGGGACTGCTCCCCTCTGGCAGCGGAGGACGGCAGCTGCGACGGGGTTCAGGAGAGGTGGCTTAGGGGGACCCTGGGAGTCACCAGGCATCCAGAAATCAGGTTCAAGGAGGGAGGCTGGGAAGCCTGGGCCCAGCCAGCATGTCTGGAGAGGGCCAGGCCAAGGGCATCTGAGGAGCAAAGACCTGCCCTGGGGAGCGAGGCTGGTGGGTGCAGGTGCTGTTTCCTGGGGGCCCCGGCGTCTCCCCATTGCCCCTGTTGCCCCTGCCTCTGCTGGCCCTACACCCCTGCCTGGGGATGGTCCCCTCCTCATGAGCACAGGTAGGCAGCCTCAGCCCTGTCACCGTCTGTAGACCCTCCCAGGATTCTGCTCCTCGGACCAGTTCTTAAGAGGCTCGGAAAAGCCAGCTGGCCCAGAAATGGGCAACTGTGGAGTGAGGGGAACAGGAGGGAGCCACTGGGTGCTGTGCTCGGATGCAGGGTAATGGTGCGTCTGGAGAGTTCCTTCTGGCTCCCAGTTAGGCGGCCTCATCAGGCCTGCAGGGGCTCTGTGCAGCCCTTGTGGATGGATGCCTGGCACCGAGGGGAGGGTGAGGTGAGGCCTTTCACTGACCTGGAGGGGTCCTTCCAGCTCTTTCACTGGCCAAGGCAATGACCCCATAGCCAGAAGAATGAGGACCCCATAGCCGGAAGGATGAGGGCTGAGAAGGGCAGCTCTGTGTGTGGTTGGGCTGTAGCTGCGTTTGCTCACATGGGGCCTCAGTTCAGAGGGACTGCAGCAGCAGAGGCCCCAGCCACCCCTGTTTCTGTGCAGGAGGTGGTGGGCCCAGGCTCAGCTGCACCCAGGCCCTGCCACTGTTGGAGCCACCTGTGAAAATGGCTCTGGATCGAGGGGTGGGATCCCCTGGCAGTGCACCGGAGCCCACCCATTCAGGACGGCGCAGTGTTTGGAGTCCGACTGGGTAGAGTCCGATCCTGCCAAATGGCCATGGTGCAGCTGCTCTACCCGCCGGGGCCACAGCTCCAGTCTTGGGGCCGCCGCTCCTGGAAACGGATTATCTAGACTTGGTCCTTGGTTTTTGTTTTTGTTTTCAATTTTTAAAAAATTACAGGCCAGGCGCGGTGGCTCAAGCCTGTAATCCCAGCACTTTGGGAGGCTGAGACGGGCGGATCACGAGATCAGGAGATGGAGACCATCCTGGCTAATACAGTGAAACCCCGTCTCTACTAAAAAATACAAAAAACTAGCCGGGCGAGGTGGCGGGCGCCTGTAGTCCCAGCTACTCGGGAGGCTGAGGCAGGAGAATGGCGTGAACCCGGGAGGCGGAGCTTGCAGTGAGCTGAGATCCGGCCGCTGCACTCCGGCCTGGGCGACAGAGCGAGACTCCGTCTCAAAAAAACAAAACAAAACAGTGAACTACACATAACAAAATTTACCATTTTCACTGTTTGGAAGGCAGCTCTGGGGCCTGAAGTACATGGTGCCCCCCAGTTCTGTCCAGCTGAAAGTGGTGGCCTTAGTTAATTCCAGGACTAACCACTTAGTGGGAGGAATCTAGACTTGGAGAAAATCTGTTTCTCTCTGCCATGGACATTCCTCCAGCCTGCCCTCCGCCCCTGCCTGCCCCCTCGCCAGGCGAAGACATCCAGCCCCCGCCCTGCCCCTGCCCCGCCCCCGCCCCGCCCCCGCCCCGCCCCCTCACCCGGCATAGACATTCTTCCAGCCCACGCTCCGCCCTCGCCCCGCCCCCACCCGGTATAGACATTCATCCAGCCCACGCTCCGCCCCCGCCCCCTAACCCGGCATAGACATTCATCCAGCCCATGCTCCGCCCCCGCCCCGCCCCCACTCAGCATAGACATTCTTCTAGCCCACGCTCCGCCCCCACCCCGCCCCCTGCATAGACATCCAGCCCACGCTCCGCCCCCGCCCCGCCTCCCTGCATATTCTTCCAGCCCACGCTCCGCCCCTCCCCGCCCCTGCATAGACATCCAGTCCACGCTCCGCCCCCGCCCCGCCTCCCTGCATATTCTTCCAGCCCACGCTCCGCCCCTGCCCCGCCCCCACATAGACATCCAGCCCACACCCCGCCCCCTGCATAGACGTTCTTCCAGCCCACGCTCCGCCCCCGCCCCCAGGCCGCTCAGTGTGATTAAATTCTGCCTGGCGCCTTCTCAGCTTCCAGCCGGGGTTACAAAGGCCTCGGTGTCTGAAGAGCCCGCTGCTTCCCCAGCACTGCCTGATTGTGCTTGTTCAGAATCCAGGACAGCGAATTCCAGCCTCAGGCTACAGTTATCTCTGGCTGCAGGCTGTGATCACAGGAACCACGCGTGGGGGCAGCCCCTTCCCACGTCCTTCCGGAGCTGGTGGGTGGTTGGCTTGGATGCTACTGCCCCAGGGAGGAGGGGAGGTCGCTGCCCCGGGATCTCTCTGGGACTAGGCTTGGTTGGGGGGCACAGACCAGTGCAGGTTGGGCCGGGCATGAACCCCAAGTCCATGCCGAGCCCCGGCCCCTCTGGCCTGTCAGGTGGGCCCCATCTCTGGACACAAGTCTCTTAAAAGCCGTTGACTTTTCCGGGCTGTGGTTCCCCTGGGTGGGGGTACAGCGTTTTCCTGTTCTTTGGGCCAAAGTTTCCCGAACCAAACGCGCCGTGAAGGAGCTGCCCCTCTCGCTGCCTTCTGAGGCTGAGCCGGGTCTGTGAAACGTGCTGGCAGTAGGCACGGGGGCAGGAGGAAAAGCATACGAATTTATTGTTAGTGTTACATGTGGAGGGCATCGTGGGGGGAAAAAATACCCAAAACAGTGGTGGGCCCCGAAGGCTGGCGGGCAGGCTGGGAGAAGGTGGAGTGGGGGCCGCGTGGGGGGCACACAGCTTTTAGGGACGACTACAGGGCCCCCAGAGACGCAGTGGGGACTCTGATGGTTTGTGACTGAGCCTGAGGCGGGGGTGGATCCTGGCCTCTCTCCAGGGGGAGGGTCCCTCTTCCTGGGCTGGTGGTACTGCAGAGGGGGGCTGAGCTGGCAGTTCCTCTTGGAGAGTCTGTCTGTAGACAGATGAGGGGAGTTCAGAGAGAGCCCCCCACCTCAGGTGCTGTTTTCCAGTGGCTTCTGCTCCAAATAGTCAACAAGGCAGAGTCTGGTGGTGCCACCAGAGCCCCTTCACCGCCCATGCCCTTCTGTCCTCCTGCTGCACTCCCCCCACCTCGGGTCCTGCTCCACTGGCCCCGTGCCCCAGTCGCCCTCAGCCGCCCCACTCCCAGTAGCTCCCAGCTCATGGCCCCTCTCAGAGGACAACAGACCCTGGCCCCCATACATGCTTGAAGGCCGTCTGCACCCAGCGCTGCCTCATTCACGATCAGGGCAAGAAACATTCTGTTCCGGGGAGAATGGAGTCCATTTGGAATTCAGCTTTTTTTTTTTTTTTTTTTTTTGCTTTTTTTTTTTTTGAGTCAGGGTCTCCCTCTGTCACCCAGGCTACAGTGCAGTGGTGTGATCTCGGCTCACTGTGACCTCCGCCTCCCAGGTTCAAGTGATTCTCGTGCCTCAGCCTCCTGAGTAGCTGGGACTACAGGCGTGTGCCACACTCAGTTAACTTTTTTCTGTATTTTTAGTAGAGACGGTTTCGCTGTGTTCGCCAGGCTGGTCTCAAAGTCGTGACCTCAAGAGATCTGCCCGTTTCAGCCTCCCACAGTTCTGGGATTACAGGTGTGAGCCTCCACGACTGGCTGGATCAGCAGGCTCGAGGTCTGGAACTGCTTGTGGACAGCCTGTTGTGGGTGTGGCTGTGCGCAGGCCTCTCTCTGGGCGTCCCGCACTGTCCCCTGCAGGGTGTGCTGACCAGCGAGGCGCAATATTCCAGAGCCTCTTCTACGCTCTGCCAAAAATGCCGGCTCTTCCCTTGTGTTTATTTTTCCACATGGACTTTTGAATATGTCTTGTCAAAATAGAAAGTAACCCCACTGGGATTTGGGTAGGATTTACATTTTCAGATTAACTGAGAGCAAAGTTGAGATCTTACCTCTCTAGGGGTCTAGTGCCTTTTACCCAAATAGGCGTCTGCTTTTTATATTGATTCTTCATATTTTGCTATGTTTATGCTACGTTGTTCCTGTAGTTATTATTTGTCACGTAACTTTTTGCTAGTGTGACTAAGAGACTTTATTTTGTAGCTTTTCCCAGTGTTAAATTGTCAACTTTGTTCCTGAGCTGCGCGGCCCTGCGTCCTGCCTTCTCGCACCTGTCAAAGGGGCAGTGGGTGTCCTCTGGAGCCACGGCCGTGCTTCTGGCTGGAGGAGTTGGGTGGGCTGGGCGTGTGGCTCTTGTACCTAGCCTGGGCAGCAGGTGTGGGTGGAGGGTCAGGTTTGGCTTTGCCAAGCTGTGACTGGTGCTCCTGGGAATAACAGCCAGACCCTCACTTAACTAGGAGTGTTTTGGGTGTGAGGTGCTAAGTGCTGGGAGATCACATGTTCCTGTTGACGTCTGTAGGGACAGAGGCTGGGTTTCCACTCGGCCAGAATGCTGCAGGGAGCACCAGGACGCCAGCTTGGTGTTGTCTGATGGGCACAGCTATCAGGAGGCAGAGGCGTGTCTCTAGGGGTGTGGTGCTCCTTTGGGGGTTTGAGAGCCCCCTGCCCAGATGGATTTCTCGGTGGCACGGCTGGCTGTTGGGCAATGGTTATAGTTGGGTGCAGCCCCGCCCCTTGACCCTGAATGGGTCTCTGCTGTCTCCTCTCTAACCCCCCTAGCTGGCTGGGCTCCTCGCCCTGCCCTGCGCACCCCTTCCCGCAGGCCGTCCCCCTTTCCGAGAGAGAGAAAGAGGCACAGGCGCATGGCGTCCGCGTTTCCCAGGCTGTGCGGAAAGAACTAAGAAAACGGGGGTCAAAAGGCCTTCACCACAGCCCCCACCCACCCCGAGGAACCGCCTGTCCTTGCAGTGACCCCACGTCTCAGGTGAACCCAAGAGAGAAGCAAGAAGAGGGAGAGCACGTCTGTGGGTAAAGAAGGGCTGCCTGGCCGGGCTCCCCAGCTCCATGTCCCTGTGCAGGGCCTGTGGGCGTGGCCCCTGGATTCCACCTTGCCTGGGCCCCCTGTGCTGTCTCAGCGAGAAGACAGTGCCTGTGGTCACTATGGCAACCTCCAAGCGGCTGCTGCAGGACCACCCTGCCAGGTGTGGCCATAACGCAGCGGCTGAGCCTGTGGCCTCTGAGTCCATGCCGGGAGGAGCTGGTTCTGAGGGTTCCTCACATCCATCGGGGGAATTCGCTGCAGGTGGAAAGCAGCACTGGCCAAGAAGAACTCGGAGGTGTCTGGGTTTTGGGATGAAACTCAATTGCCAGCTTGGAGTCATGGGGGGTCCCAGACCACCACCTGGGGGGCTCGAGTCAGCGCTGCCTGTAGCCCAGGCTCTGCCCTGGGGGGGCTTCCCTGGGGGGCCTCATGCTCTCCAGGCCACCAGGATAGCAGCTCCACCGGAAGGCAGCCTGGGTGACCTCAGCCTGGCAGGCAGCTCTGTTCCTCATGTTCGCAGCCAGCGGACACTGATGCTGATCGGAAGCTGGGTGTTCTGGGGGCTGCTTATTTGTGATGTGTGTTCCCATGGTGAGCGATGTCCACCCTGTTCCTGAGATGTCCAGGCCTGGATTCTGGACCTGGGATCTGAGGACCCTGGGTCTATGTGCCGTGGGTGACCCTCACGCGACAGCCCCCTAGTGTCCGGGAAGCCTGGTTGAAAGGGAGCCAGCAGTGGCCTCTGAAAGTTGATGACGTCCAGCAGTGTCTGCAGAAGCCCCGTGATGCTGGCCTGCTGCCAGGCTCCCGGGGCAGGGGCTGCTGCAGTCACTGCGGGCAGCTGAGCCTGGGTTTCTCCCCAGACGCCTCTCACTTCCCAGCAGCACAGGCTCTGGCTTCCTCGCCAGCTGGCCGCCCGGCCACCCCGCTCAGGGCAGCAGGAGCCCTTTGTGGCGGCCACAAGTGTGTGGCACAGAATGACCCCCATCTGGCAGGGAGTGTGCGGTGCCCCTGGGGACCTTGCAGCAGTGGTGTTTCTGGACTTCGTTAGTTGGGACTAAGACGGTTGGATACAGGCTTTGGGTTTTTGCTGACTTTGCTGTGGTTTTGTGATTGTGTGTGTAAGATGGGCTCCCCCAGCTTGGGGAGGATCGTGTGCTGTTGCTGGGTCCAGAGAATGTTTACTGGGCTGAACTGACCTGTCCTCCTGTGGGGACCAAAGGAATCTGCTGGCTGGACCCAGGGCCCCAGGACAGGCTGTGGGGAGGTTCAGCGCACACAGTGCTCTTCTCCTGAGCCCTCATACAATCTGTAAAATGCTTCCCGAGGGTTCTGGCCTGTGGCTCTCAGGAGTGTGGCATATAGTACTGGCCACCACAGACCCTGTCTGGCTTTGGGGTTTAAATGGTTAAGTGCAGTGTGATCTTCCTCCCTTGGACCTCTGATGGGGAGTGCTTGGCCCCACATTGGCCCCACATGTCCAGCCTGGCACAGGGCGAGGGTTTCAGGAGCGTTGGGGGCCCAGACAGGGCTGGACAGTCACCCCGGCACTGCAGCCTGGTCTCTGCCCAAGTGTCCACCCAGCTTGCCCCCTCCTCCGCGTGTATGGACGCGTGTGTGCGTGCATGTGTGCATGGCTGTGTGTGTACATGAGCATGTGTATGTGTGCCTGCATGTTTGTGTGTTGTGTGTGTGTGCATGTGCATGTGTGGGTGTGGTATGTGTGTGTGTGTGCATGCATGTCTGTGTGTGTGTGCATGCCTGTGTGTGCGCATGAATGTATGGGGTATGTATGTGTGGGTGCATGCATTGCACATGTATGAACTGTGTTTCCAACGCTTTAATGTCAGGGCTTTGCTGACCGTGGAGAGACTGCCCCTCTGGGGCCAGCCACTTCCTAGAGATCACAAACACTTGCCTTTGGTTGCCTTTCAAATGAAACCCCCAACCCACCCCCAGCTGTCTCCTCTGTGTGCTCCCAGGCTCGGGCCCACATCCCCTGCACAAATCACGGCCTGACCCCAGACGCCCAGGGTGGGCCTATATCCCCACAGGCCAGCCTCCAGCGTGCTCACCCGGCTTTCCCCACCTTTCCCGAGGAAGCCTCTGCCAAGGCTCTGCCCGTGTTTCCCCATCACGTCATCTGTCTCTGAGACCGTGGTGTTCCCCTGCGTGGTGTGGCATGCCCCTCCTCCTGTTGGGAACTGTAACAAATGGTCTCATCAATGGCAGGCGTCTCCTGATCTCACTCACCTGCGTGATAAGAAAACCTACATTTTAAAGCAAGAGGTGTCTCCTGAATCATGTAGATCTCTTGGGCCTGCTGTCCAGCTTCCCATGGGGGCCTCTGAGAGCAGCTGCCGAATCACAGTCCTTAGTAGAAGCTGCCTCGGTCCCAAGGAGGCTGCCCCGTGCCCTGACCAGATAGTGGGAGGAAGCCCCCTGCCAGGGCAACTGGCAGTTCTCCAGGCCTCATCCACTTGCCTGCCACACTGAGGGACCCAGCTTAGCAGCTGCCTTTTCTCTGGGAAGGTCAGCGCTGGAGAGTCTCGGGGGCTCCAGGCTGTGCTAGGTCTGACCACCGTGGCTTTGAAGGAGACAGAGATGCTTAGGATTAAACAGACCACTCTCCCCGCCAGGCCAGAGTTGGGACGGGGGATGACAGCGCTGATCAGAGAACCCAGAGGAACCCTGTGTACACAGCAGCTGCAGGCTCCTAAAGGGTCGGGGGAGGGATCGTGCTCTCCCTGCCGTGGGGAAGCTGATTCTGCCAGGGCCGGTTCCACTCCAGGCTCCAGAGGCAGAGGGGTGAAGCTGCACCAGGACCAGCCCCGCTGGCACACTTAGGTTCCTCTGTGCCTCATCCTCTGCTTTGGATTTGCCTCCACCACCACTGCAGGACCAAAGAAATCCTGTGTGGGGCCTCGGTGCAGAGTCCGCATGGAAGAAACGGTTACCACATACTCCTAAATGGGCCAAAACACGGTGGGAACTTGCCGGGCCCATCTCTCTGGGTCGCCCAGGCTGCACCTTTATGCCTTAAAATCAGCTGTTTCCCTCATGACTAATTCAGGAGGAGAAGAACTTTCGTATCCATTTTCTCATTTTCTTCCCTCAACAAGCGCGTGCATGGTCCTTGCCTTGCCTTGGAGCTGCAAGGAAGCTGAGGCCAGAGAGGTGGCCCTGCTGGCCTCAGGTCAGGTCACCTGGCTTAGGAGGAACAAGCACTAGTGGAGGTCCGAGGGGCCCAGCCTGTGAGCCCAGGGAGCACAGTCCAGGGAGTGGGAGCCCAGCAGGGCAGGAGCCCAGGGAGCACAGTCCAAGGAGTGGGAGCCTGGGGAGCACAGTCCGGGGAGCACAGCCCAAGGAGTGGGCATTTAAAACGAAACTGCCCGCCCAGCTGTCAGCTCTGGTCTCAGCAGCCGGGAGGCTGTGGTCAAAGAACAAGGGATCTGTCCACGTGTGTGGGTCCCTGAGGGCCGGCCTCACCTTTGGGGGTAGAACTGGGCCAGGAGGGTTTCCGTGATACAACCACAGCATGGAAGCTGAAGATCTTCTCATACTTACAGACCTTGGCGGGTACGTTGCAGGCCTGGTGCCTACAAGCACTTGGAGGTTGGGGGCACAAACAGGGAGTGCAGGGACCCTGGGGCCAACACGTTTGTTGGATCCAGAGGAGCTCTGCTTGGTGAGTGAATCCCAGGCACCAGGTCCAGGGTCACACCGTGATTGACATGTAAACTGGCAGGCAAATGTCTGAATGGCCCAGGAAAGGAAACCTCTGTTAGGTGGGAGACTCACCTCTAAGTTTCTATCTCTGGCCACCGGCTGGAGCCGCTAGGGTGAGTGGGGGATAGTATTGGAAACCGTGTTGAGGGTGACTAAGCCGTTCTGGTGTGGAAAGTTAAACTTGTATTTGAGACTGACCTGAGGCAGCATGACGTCATAGGCACCCCTCCCGGGCCGCCTCCCTGGCTGTCCTGCAGCGAGCCCACGAGTGAGAAGCAAGCTTCCTCGCCATCCCGCTGGGCCCACGCGTGGCAGACACAGCTGCCCAGTATGTGTGGGGCCCGTGCACGGTGGGGTTGCCACCTGCCACCCGGCCTCAGCTTCCTCATCTGGACTGGGAGCCCCTGGCCACCCCATCGGGTCACCCCCTTCTGGGAAGCTCATGACAGGTTGTGGCATCCAGGACCACAGGGGCATTGTTGACCATTTCCGGGGCAGTCAGGCGTCCCCATGGGCCCAGAGTCCCAGCACTGACCATGTCCCTCTGCTGACCAGGCCATGTGCAGGCCCTGCCACCTGGGGAAGGGGCTGGGGTCCTTTCTGTACTCCTGACTGAGGCCCATGCATGGGTTTTGGGGCCACGGAAATATTGCCTCCACTTTTCTCTTTTTCTAGTTTTTAGAAGGTGCAACTCACATGGTATAGAGAGGAGCACAGTGACCCCCCACAAGCACCCGGGTCCAGCCTCACCAGGAACCGACGCGGCGCAATCCTGTTTCAGCCACAAACTTTGCCCGCCTCCCGCCGTGCCCTGGGTATCCGACATGAATTCCAGAGAGTGTGTTGTTTTATCCATCGATAGTTTAGTGTGTATCTTTAAAAACGAGGACTGTCTTCGTAGCCACCACCACGGTATTTTCCACACCGGGAACAATGGTCTTTACGATCCCGTCACACTGCGCCAGGCTCGTGTTCTTCCAGTGCCTGTGACTGTCTTCTGATGGCTTCTCTGAGTCAGGATCTGGATGAGTCTCTGCAGTGAGGTGGGCCCATGACCACCAGTCACCCTGTGGGCCCTGTCCTTGCTGTTTACTTGCTGAGGGCCCAGGTGGCTCTGTGGTTCCGTATCCTGAGCATCCCGTCTGCTTCTGCTGCCCACGTCACCTGGAGACCCGGGCACTATCCCTTCGTCCTGCCTTCTCCTTCCTTCCAGAAATAACCCTTGTAAGAAAGATTTTGGTTCGTATTTCCATTGGTTGGTTTCTTTCTTTCCTTTTTTTTTTTTTTTTGAGACGGAGTCTTGCTCTGTTGCCAGGCTGGAGTGCAGTGGTGCAATCTCAGCTCTCTGGGTTCAAGATATTCCCCTGCCTCAGCCTCCTGAGTAGCTGGGACTACAGGCGCGCGTCACCACGCCCAGCTAATTTTTTTGTATTTTAGTAGAGATGGGGTTTCACCATGTTGGCCGGGATGGTCTCGAACTCCTGACCTCGTGATCCACCCGCCTCTGCCTCTCAAAGTGTTGGGATTACAGGTGTGAACCACTGCGCCTGGCCTGATTTCTTTTAATATATCCGTTTAACCTGCTTCTGGCATCAAGGGTGGCACACCACTCACGCAGCTCACACCACTCACACGGTTCATACCAGTCACGTGACTCATACAGCTCATACCACTCAAAGTTCACACTGTTCACATCACTCATACTACTCACACGGCTCACACCACTCACATCACTCATGTGGTTCATACCAGTCATGTGACTCACACCACTCATACAGTTCATACCACTCACAGTTCACACTGTTCATACCACTCATACTACTCACACGGCTCACACCACTCACACTACTCACACAGCTCACACCACTCACATGGTTCATACCAGTCATATGACTCACACCACTCATACAGTTCATACCACTCACAGTTCACACTGTTCAACCACTCACACGGCTCACACCACTCACATCACTCATGTGGTTCATACCAGTCACGTGACTCACAGCACTCATACAGTTCATACCACTCACAGTTCACACTGTTCATACTACTCACACAGCTCACACCACTCACATGGTTCATACCAGTCATGTGACTCACACCACTCATACAGTTCATGCCACTCACAGTTCACACTGTTCACACCACTCATGCCAGTCACAGCTTCACCTTGCTTTCTCCCCCAGCCGTGTGTCTGGTGTCCCCTGTGCAATGTGCATCCCTGCCCTAGGTCCCATCACATGGCCGCATCATTCACCCTGGTGGGCGTGCCACAGGAGCTGCCCACCTGCCCCGGTAGGCATACTGCCAAGTGTCCAATGGCTGCTATAACAAATTAGCCCATGTGCAATGGCTTTGAACAACATAGACTTCCTGTCTTTACCTGACCTCCAGCCCCCCAGGCCTCCCCAGCAGCTCAGGAGAGCCACAGACTTGAGGCAGCCAGAGGTGCGAGAAGAGGTGGTCCCTGACTGACAGGAACGGATGGCAGCCACACCTGCCCCGGCCACCTACCAAGCAGGTAGGGGAGAGCCATGACATGAAGGGGCCAGAAGCTCAGAAGGGGCCATACAGAACACGGAGTGCAGAGTGTGGAGGGTGAAACCCTTTGGACTCACAGCTCTGCAGAAACAGGCGAGAGGGAGCTCTGGCTGGGAGTGAAGGAGCACCCAGAGTCCCCCCAAGAATTCATAGAGACCTCATCTAGCAGCAGGGATGGCAGAAAAAGGGAAGTGGGCAAACCTGCTAGAGGAACCCCCCGTTTCAGAGGGGGCTGCAGCAAGGCATGGGAATGTGGCGGATGAGGAAGGGACATGGAGGTGCCGCCCAGGACTCGGGGATGTATTGAGAGGTGTCAGGAGGGTGCAACGGAGAAATGGCTGGCAGAGCTCCCCTGGAAGCAGCTGTCAAGCTTGGGCAGCACGGAGGGTGGCCCTCAAGATGGGTCATGGACTACGCGTATCCTGTGCACAGGTCCTGAGTCCCGGGGAGAGAGGAGAGCTGGGAGTAGCAGGGCAAGGTGTTAAGAGTCTTGGTTATCCCCAAGTGGGAGAATCCACGTGGCCACAGGTTCTCAGCCACTCAGAAGCAGCATGTCCACGCTCCGTTTGAAGATAGCCCAGAATCCCAGACCTCATCAGAATGATCACTTGTGTGGAAGCACCAGAAAACAGTATGTCCACGGTGGTTCCGCACTGGTGAGGACTCAGACGGCGCCCCAGCCCATCTGCTCTTCCAAGCCCAGCAAGGTTCCAGCCGGCATGAAGCAGCTGAGGGGTGGCAGCTATTGCTGAAGGAACCGTCCTGCAGCCGCAGCAACTGCATGCCTTAGCCCCACGGCGATGCTCTGATTAAACGAGGGCTTTAGGTAGGAGCTCAAGCACCCCTGCACGTGTGGGCCTGGGAGGTAGCTCCGTCCCCCAGGAAGCTGGTGGGCTGGGTCCCCCTCCCTGGCCATCGACACCTGACAGCCATAGGGCACGGGGGGTTCCCAGCCTCTTGGGACAAAGACCCCCCCTCTGCCATCTGCAGCAGATGGAAGAAGAGCCGCAGTGCCATTGCAGCATGGCCCCTACAGCTGCCACCCTGGCCCCTCAGCCCGCCAGTGTCCACCTCTTCCCAAGAGGTTTGTGGCCTCATGAGGCTTCTTAACTCCACCGGCCATGGCCTAGGAAGCAGCCATTTAGCATCAGGGGAAAACCGAAACCCCAAAACTGGTTCCCACTCACCACGTTAGAATCCTGAGCTCAACCAGGGAGAGGGGCCTGGGACACGTGGCCCGTGAGACACAGCTTCTCAGGGACGTCAAGATAACAGCTTCGGGGGGGCTCTCAGGAGGGACAGGAGAAGAGTGGGAGGTAGAGCAGCCTCTGGAGTGCACGAGAGTCCAGCTCTGCCTGGGGGACCCCTCTGCCTCCAGTGCCCTCCCCAGAGGCTCCATACTGGGCTGCGCCTTCCTCAGCCACTGCAGACACCTTCTCCAGCCCCTTCCTGGGCACTGACCCTCCTGTTTTTGTGGTGCCCGGCACTGATCCCTGGGAGGAAGCCTGCCTTGCCCTGTCTCGCCCTGCTGTCCCCACATGCCCAAGCTCTGCTTCTCCTTGGGACATCAGAAGCTCCCCCAGGTAGGATTCGGAGGTGGTTTCATACCGTTTAGAGGCCTTAGGTACTTGTGGTCAGGCATTTGTTTCTGGGGAACAAAAATTACTTGGAAAGAGGAAGAGCTTGGGTGAATCACTGAAATCTGCAAAATGCGTGAACAGCATTCAGTTGAAATGGCAATCACGTGGCTGCAGGTCCCAGCCTGTTGCAGGTGGCACCGTGGCCTCCCTGTCAGTGGCGCTTCGTGGGGAAAGCCCAGGGCTCCGGAGCCCGGCGTTGGCTTGTTCCTCTTCGTGGCAAGACCTCTAACTCCATTTCCTTTTTGGGTTTAAGTCGATGATTGGAGGAAGCAGCCGGGAAAGCAGGGACCAGTTTCCTGGAGGAAGCGGTTGAGTCAGACCTGCCTGCCCTCAGCCTCCCAGGCCTGGTCACAAAAGGCCGCTGGATTTCCAGTCTTTTTTGTAAACACTGCTGTGTGTGATCTTGGGTGCTGAGGTCCCTCCAGACAGAGAGACTGTACCAACCCCAGGGCTTTATGCCACTGTTCGTTGGAGCCTCCCGCATCAGGGGCTCGAGGGAGCCTGATGGACCTGCCCTCTTCTCTGTTGTCTTCACCTGAGAGCACTGTGATGTGATTGACTTAATGAAATCCATTTCAACGGAAAACCCCACACCACCCCCAAACCACCTTGAGCGTGCCCGACGGTCCAGGCCTCGGAGGGCGGGTCCTAGTAATAAGGGGCGGGGCCAGGCTCCCCACCTGCTGGCTTGGGTCAGAAAGTGGCGAAGGAGATGGGGGAAGTGGGCTGCTGGGTTGGCAGGTGCTTGGATGAGGGCGCATCGTGAGCCCGGTGAGGCGGCTGCCTGCATGCGTGGCCGCGGGTGGTTTCAGGGATGCGTACACACAGGAGGTGCGAAGAAAGTGAGTTTCCCGCCAGAACTAAGTTCCGTAACTCAGTGTCTGCAAACAACAGAAGTGTCTCTTGTAGTCCTGGAGATGGGAAGCCTGAGACCTGGCAGAGTGGGTCCTCTGGGTGGCTCCGTGGGAGAACCCGCTGTGCCTTCTCCTGGCGTCTGGTGGCTGCTGGCCACTCGTGGCGTCCTCAGTTGCTGCCGCGTCACTCCAACCCCAGGCCGGCATCTTCACATCGCTGCCTCTGCCCCACCTTCACGCTCCCTCGCCCCCATGCCTGCGCCGTCTCCTCGCCCCCATGCCTGCGCTGTCTCCTCGCCCCGGTGCTTGCACCGTCGTCTTTTTTCTGTCTTTTATAAGGATGCCTGTCATTGGCTTTAGGGCCCATCCCCATTCAGGGCCTCCAGATCCTCAACTTAATTACATCTTCAAAGACCTTTGTTCCCAATAAGGCCACATTCCGAGGCTCCTGGTGGCTGTGTCATTTGGGGACACACTCGGGCCTGCTGCCGGGGGTCAAGGCATTCCCCCCAGGGTCTCCAGGGAGCGACCATGGCAACTCAGCCTGCCCTGCCGGTACCTCGCATGGGGCTGGCACAGAGGAAGACTTACAAACTTTTCTTGAACTGCAGTTGAGCTGAGAATGTTCCAGAACACAGAGCCCAAAGACTCGGGAGACCTGGGTGTAACCCTGCCTCCCCTTGTTCCTCAGGGCAGCTCCTCCCACAGGGCCAGGCCAGGGGCTTCGATCGTGACTGATGACTCCACCATCCAGGGCAGTTTGTTTCCCAGGTGGGGTAACAGGCTGGAGGGAACTGGATCTGCTGCTTTGTTCTGGTGGACAACGGAACTGTGGGTGTGCGAGGCCAGGCCCTGACTCGAGGCGGCTCTTCTGTCCCTGCTCCCTGGCTGCGCGTGACAAGATGTGTGTGATGGGGAGCGCAGGCTCGGGTCACAGGGCCAAGGGGCTGGCCCCAGATGGAGCCCAGGCCCCGCGCTTGGGAAAACAGGTGGTCCTGGGTGAGCTCGCTTGGCAGGGGGGTGAGGTCCTGTCTGGAGTAGACACCCGGTCAGTGTCCGCTGCTCCTGTGACTGGGCCCAGAGGGCACGGGAAGCCCAGGTGCCCTGTGCCCTGGTGAGTGGGCTGTGGGGGTTCCGTACCCCAAGGGAAGGCATGTTCTTCCAGAGATTCCGCCATAAGAGCTGAGCTGCAACATGAGCGGGAGGGGCAGAGGGACCCCGGAGAGGGTTCGGTGGCTTAGGCAGCAGCTTTCTGGGGCTTTGCACAAGGGACAGAAAGCCCGAGGCTTGGGACCGGCTGGAGACGGCCTTGGGCTCTGGGCACTGGCGCTGCTCCAGGCAGAGGGGGGCTCTGCAGCTCCCCCGCCAGCTTCCCCCCAAGCAGCAAAAGCCCTGGCCCCAGCCAGTGCCCCCAAGTCAGGCTCCTGAGGGGCAGAGGGTGGGGGCCAGATTTTCCACCCTGTTTGTCTCACAGCCTGTCTGGTCCCAGCCCCAGGGCAAGAAACAGCCCTTCGGGAGCGGTTTCCAGACCTGCAGTCGCCACCTTGAGCGTGCAGTGGCCGTCTGCGGGAGGCCACGGGTGCTGGGGCTGGCGCGGGAGAGCACTGCTCCTTCTGTGCCTGTGCAGTGGGGCTGGGGCTTCCGTCCGGAGCACGGGACACCTCTGCCTCCTGCGGCCCTGAGCGTGGGAGGAAGGCCATGCTGCTGAGCCACGCGACTCTGCCCCGTTGGCAGCGGGAAGCAGCAGGAGAGGGTCGTCGGAGCTGAAGTGGGCAGCCAGGGCTGCTGCAGCTTGTGCTCACTGTCATTCTGAAACCCTCAACTGGCTTTCAAAATAACAATTTTAAAAGTGGTGGCAGGAAATGCAGGAAGTTCAGGAGAAGCCCCGCCCAGCCCAGCCCTCCCAAGGCAGCCTCGTTCAAGCTCAGTCTCCGTCTGTTCTTCTCGGGCTGCCTGCAGCTGCCCCCGCTCCTCGCAGGTGTGGCCGTGTGTTCGGGAGCCCCCGTCAGCCCCTGTCAGCCCACGCGCCTCTGGGTAGCCCCCAACACAAGGCTCTTCCTGTCCCTCCAGGCCCAGCTTTCCCCACCCACCGGTCGGGGAGGTGCTGAGGCCACGCCTGGTGCCAGCTTCTTGGAGAGGCCACACTTAGAGCCCATGGTGCCAGGCCAAGTCACTGTCTCCCATGCCATGGTGCTGCAGCTGGATCCACCCAGGCCACTGCTCGGCACCATCAGATGTGCTTTCCTGGTTTGGGCCAGCCCTGTGCTCTGTGCACAGTGTGACTCCCAGTGGCCCCCAGGGGGAGGGAGGGTCACCGCTTTGCGTCACAAAAGGACTGAGTCTCAGGGAGGGGTCTCCAGTAACAGCCCCGGAGCCAGGATGTGACTGAGACAGGTGCCTCCAGGGTCACACACTAAGCAGTACAGGAATCTCTGGGGGCAGAATCGTGGCCTCCAAAACACGCACGTTCAAATCCCCAGAACAGACGTGTTACCGTTCGTGGCAGAGAGGGATGAAGGTTGCACATGGAATTCAGGCTGTTAATCATCTGACTATTTTTTTAGAGACAGAGTCTCGCTCTGTCACCCAGGCTGAGTGTAGTGGTACAATCATGGCTCACTGCAGCCTCAACCTCTCATGCTCAAGCAATCCCCCCTTCTCAGTCTCCTGAGTAGCTGGGACTACGGGTTGTGCCACCACGCTTCCAGGGCATGTGACCAGGAGCCGAGGGCCGTCTGTGGCCCACCTTGAGATCCAGAATCGTCCAATTCCTCCAGGTCCCCCGCTGGGCTCCAACTCCTTGAGGACCAGATAGCAGAGGTTGTGGAAGGCCTTGGAAATGGGTCTGGGTTACCTGTCCTCTCCCAACCTGAGTGGGAGACAGGGGTGTTGGCTCTGCTGCTTACAATTTTGTGCCTTAATTTCTGGCTTCCCTTTGGGGATCTTTGTCCTTAATTCTGACTGACATTCCTTGGCCACAAGGGACCCCTGGCTCGTTGATGCTTCTCACCCCTTGCCTCACTTTGATCCTCACTGCCAAGCAATTAGCTGTGCGTTTGCAGCGTCAGTGTTGACACTGACGATCCGTGCTCAGAGGGCACGGTGCCTGAAGAGCTATGTGGGGACCGGTGCTGCCGAGGGGTCCCGCTCTGGTGGCAGCAGTGGCCCCCAAGCCCCATGCTCACTCTGTGTGTCTCCTTGCAGGACAGGGTGAGGGGCGTTGGCCTCACGGTGTTGAGACGGGAGGCGGTCTCTGGAGTGTGGAATGATGTGTGTCCAGGGTGAAGCTGCAGCCATAGTTGATGAGGCTTCCTGGGTGCTGGCTCTGTGCTGAGTGGGTTTTCGCGTTCGTTCCCCAGTACCCCTCCAGGCTGCTTGCTGCTCCAAGCCCTGGAAAAGGATGTTGGGGTTTAGGAAGGGAAAACTCCCTGCCCAGGTCATGGCTGGTGAGGGGCCCTCCCCGCACAGCTGGCCACTGCATGGCTCCGACTCACGCCTGGGTGCTCTCAGGCCCGGCCCTGTCCATTTGCAGCTAGTGCTGTTCACAGATGTGTCCTGCTGCAGACTTGAAACGCAGGACTGAGTCTCAGGGAGGGGTCTTCAGTGACAGCCACGGAGCCAGGATGTGACTGAGACAGGTGCCTCCAGGGCCACACGCTAAGCAGTACAGGAACCTCTGGGGGCAGAATCCTGGCCTCCCAAACACCCAAGTCCTAATCCCCAGAACAAATATGCTACCACATGTGCAGCGAGGAATGCGTCTGCCACGTCCAGGAGGCAGAGGGGCTGTGGCGCGTCCCCAGTGTCCCCGTGTGTCCTGACGATGCGTCCCCAGGCATCCCCATGCATTTCCAGGTGTCCCTGTGTGTCCTGACGATGCGTCCCCAGGCGTCCCCATGCATTTCCAGGTGTCCCTGTGTGTCCTGATGATGTGTCCCCAGGCGTCCCCATGCATTTCCAGGTGTCCCTGTGTGTCTGCTGATACGTCCCCAGGCGTCCCCATGCATTTCAGGTGTCCCCGTGTGTCCTGATGTGTCCCCAGGCGTCCCCAGCCATTTCCAGGTGTCCCCGTGTCTGACGATGTGTCCCAGGCGTCCCCATGCATTTCAGTGTCCCATGTGTCCCAGGCGTCCTCAGGGCGTCCCATGCATTTTCCAGGTGTCTCCAGGCATCCCCAGGCGTCCCCAGGCGTCCCCCGCCGCATTTCAAGGTGTCCGTGTATCCACAGTGTCTGAGCGTCCCCCATGCATTTCAGGTGTCCCGTGTGTCCCCAGGCATCCCCATGCATTTCCAGGGTATCCCCAGGCGATATCAGGGCGTCCCCAGGCGTCCCCATGCATTTCCAGGTGTGGCGTCCCCATGCATTTCCAGGTGTCCCCGTGTGTCCCCAGGCATCCTCAGGCGTCCCCATGCATTTCCAGGTGTCCCCGTGTGTCCTGACGATGCGTCCCCAGGCGTCCCCATGCATTCCCAGGTGTCCCCGTGTGTCCCCAGGCATCCTGCCGAACAGCCCTGTGCCCCCCAGGTGTGCATTGTGCAGAAGCGGGACACAGAGAAGATGTACGCCATGAAGTACATGAACAAGCAGCAGTGCATCGAGCGCGACGAGGTCCGCAACGTCTTCCGGGAGCTGGAGATCCTGCAGGAGATTGAGCACGTCTTTCTGGTGAACCTCTGGTGAGCCTGCCGTGGCCTTTCTGCAGAGAGACTCGCCGCCCTGAAGCTGGGAAGGCACCGGCTGTGCTCGCCTGCCCTTGGTGCTCCCTGGCCCTCGTGCCTCGGAGATGCCCCTGCCACACACAGGCCCTTTCTACCCCTCCCCATCTGTTCTCCTTCCTGTGCCCCAGGGCTGGCAGGGGCCCAGGTGGCCATGGCGTGCTGGGGTTAGTTAATGCAGTCTCTTCGGAGCCTGCTGGAAGCCCAGGGCTTCCCTACAATGGAGATGTGCCCCCATGGAGTCTCTGGCACTAGTCAGTGGGGGAGAGTTTAGGGACTGAAAAACTCACCACCATCATCGCCGTCACCACCATCATCACCACTGTCACCATCATCACTCTCATCACCGTCATCGCTGTAATCAACACAGTCACTATTGTCACCATCGCCACCACCACCACCACAGTCACAATCACTGTTATCACCATCACCACCACCACCGCCTCAATCATCTATTGTCATCACCATCACCGATCACCAGCACCACCATCCGCCACTGTCACCGTCTTCCTCTCATCACCGTCATCCTGCGTCAACACAGATCACTATTGTCTGCATTGCCACCACCACAGTCACAATCACTGTTATGCCATCACCACCACACCACCCTCAATCATCACTATTGTCATCACATCACGGTCATGCAGCACCACCATCACCACTGTCACGTCATCCATCATCATGCTGTCATCACTGTAATCAACACGGTCACACTATTGTCACCGCCATGCACCACCACAGTGCAGTGCCGGTATCACCATCACCACCACCCTCAATCATCACTGCCATCATCCTCACCGTACCACCACCACCACCACGGTCCACAATCCCCTTATTTATCACCATTATCACCATACTATTACGGTAACTGTTATCACCATCATCACCCTCAATCGTGGTATTTATATCCTCACCATCGCGATCGCCACCATCACCAGCGCCATAATAGTCATCACTGTCATCACCAAGTCATCACTGTAACCAACACAATCACTATTGTCACCATGTCTACACCACACGCAGGTCTGATCTTTGTATCACCGTACTATTGCAGTCACTGTTATCACCATACCACCACCCTCAATCGTCTCTTTAACCGTGTCACCATCACCATCACGCGTCGCGCGCATGCGCCATAATGCTGCTCATATAAAATGCCAAGTCATCACTGTAATCAGCGAATCCTATTGTCACCATTGCCACCACCACCACCATGGTCACAATCACTGTTTTTCACCATGCTATTACGGTCACTGTTGTCACTATCACCACTTTTTACCACCACCATCACTGCCATACGTCCTCTGTGGATGCTGGACATTAAATGCCAGCTCTTTGCCCAACACTGTGTCAAGAGTGTTACCTAAGTCATCGTTTTTTTAACAACTCTCTGGGGCAGATGTTTATCCCCATTTTACTGAGAAGAGGGAGACCAGGCAGCCTGAAACACCCAGAGCTGGGCGCTGTAGCTCTGCTCTGCATTTGCCACTCCCGGGTGCCTCTGGCCCTCAGCATCACTGTAATCAACACAATCACTATTGTCACCATTGCCACCACCACCACCATGGTCACAATCACTGTTTTCACCATACTATTACAGTCACTGTTATCACTATCACCACCACTACCACCACCATCACTGCCATCGTCCTCACCGTGGATGCTGGTTATTAAATGCCAGCTCTTTGCCCAACACTGTGTCAAGAGTGTTACCTACGTCGCCTCATTTTTTTTAACAACTCTCTGAGGCAGATGTTTGTATCCCCATTTTACTGAAGAGGAGACCAGGCAGCCTGAAACACCCAGAGCTGGGCGCTGTAGCTCTGCTCTGCATTTGCCACTCCCGGGTGCCTCTGGCCCTCAGCTGGGCCACCTCCAGCACAGGGTGGTGTGTCTTTCCTCAGGATCTGGGCTCAGAGCAGCTCTGGGCTGGGGTGCCATCAGTGCTTTGGGCAGGCCCCTCCTCCGGGGAATGCCTGGTGACTGATGCTGGGGTGGGGCTGCGGTCCTTAGGGGGAGTGTGTCAGTGGTGGGAGCAGCCATGACTGGCTCCCCAGCGGTGCACACACCAGGCCCTCCGTCGTGCCCACAGGTACTCCTTCCAGGACGAGGAGGACATGTTCATGGTAGTGGACCTGCTTCTGGGTGGGGACCTGCGTTACCACCTGCAGCAGAACGTGCAGTTCTCTGAGGACTCGGTGAGGCTGTACATCTGCGAGATGGCGCTGGCCCTTGACTACCTGTGTGGCCAGCACATCATCCACAGGTGTGTGCGTGGCAGACAGTGCGGGCACCTGCTGATGTGGGCAGGGCTTCAGCAACCTCGGGTCAGACTGCTGGCAGGGCGTCCGCACTCCCGCAGAGCGGGTCCAGCTCCTCTGCCCCACCCTTGCCTGAGTGCCTGCCCCCAGCTGTGGCACCTGCGCCAACCGGGTCAGCCCCATAGCTGTGTGCCTGGTGTCCATGTGGGGGGCCTCGTCCCAGTAGCCCCAGCCGAGACTGGGCACAGAGGGCTGTTAGCCCTGGTGGACGGACACGGGGCCGGGTCACAGCAGGTGGCCTTCACCTGGTCTGTTTAACTGAAGGCTCCCGTTTGCCCATCCACCATGTCCCAGGGAATCCAAACTAATTTTAACATTAGCTTAAAGCGGATGAAATTAGGAAGCAGAGCCGGTGTGATGGCTCTGAAAATAAAATTTAAAAAAAGAAAATAGGAAGCAGATTATGAAGGAAGTGAAATTGGGAAGCAGAAATTAGGCTGAAATTCCGCAGCTATGGAACAAAATGAAAATATCTGTGAGGTATATTTTAAAGCCGAATAGACGTGTTTGCATTTCTGTTTCTGGGGACTCGGATGTCTAGTTATGACCTGGTCGCTGAGCACTGGCTGCGTGCCTGGAAAAGTCGGGGCAAAGCAAGAGCCGAGGTGGCTTGGTCTCCTAGAGGCTGAGTCGTGGAGTGGGAGGGCAGGCCCTGCCAGCAATTGCTCTTGTCCTCTGGGGCTCCAGGCCCCCTCCCAGCGTCTGGTGCCGGGTGTGTGCTGCTGTCCAGATGCCACAGGAAACAAAGTGGCTGACTTCATCGCCTCTGCCCCTACCCGGAGGTCCTAGTATCGTCCGAGGACCAAGTCAGGCTCCCAGGCCTCTGCCTCGAGTGGGTGACCGGAGGTGGGGGGGAGTGTCCTGGGGACTCCAGGAATTGTGGCAGAGGTTCCAGGGCAGAAACAGGGCAGATTTCTCAACTCACCTTCCCACTTTCTGCCCTGTCTAGAGATGTCAAGCCTGACAACATTCTCCTGGATGAGAGAGGTGGGTGGGGCTGGGTGTGGGCAGCCCAGGTGGGTGGCGGCAGGGATGGGCCTGTAGGGGGAGGGGAGTCCTGCACGCAAGGATGCGTCTCTGGTCCTGGGACAGCCACAGCTGACCCCTCTCTGCACAGGACACGCACACCTGACTGACTTCAACATCGCCACCATCGTCAAGGACGGGGAGCGGGCAACGGCGTTAGCAGGCACCAAGCCGTACATGGGTGAGCCCGAGCTGGGGTTCCAGATGGGAGCTGGCTTCCTCCAGGTGGGAAGGACAAGACCTCGGTGGCTTCTCTGTCCCACCCTGGAGGCAGCCTGGTCTCGGGGTGTGGCCTCAAGGTGTCGGCCCTGTGCCCACGGGTCCAGGCTGTGATCCATTGGCAGCTCAACTGGTCCTTCTTTCTGTCGGAAAGCTCCAGAGATCTTCCACTCTTTTGTCAACGGCGGGACTGGCTACTCCTTCGAGGTGGACTGGTGGTCGTTGGGGGTGATGGCCTATGAACTGCTGCGAGGCTGGGTATGGACCCCCTGCAGCTCCCGGGTTTGGCCACCAGGCCCCTGCTGTCTGCCCCCACCAGTGGGTGACATGAGTGCCGGGGAGGGGGGCGGCCACCCCCAGTGCCCAGGCGTGCAGGGATGTCTCCACTCTGTCTGAGGAGTCACGTTTTTAGCAAAGTGTGCAGTTGGTGATGGAATGCCTGAGCAGGGGGAGGAAGGACAGTCACCGTGGTTTCCCGGGACCGCTGCTGGGGCCTGCAAGCCGGCCTCTGGCGGGGTGGACAGGGCTGAGAACTGGCCAGCAGGGGTGCTGCTGCCTTGGAACTTGCCACAAAAAGTTTCTTTTGGGGCCCTGTGCTCTCACCCTTGTGGCCATGGCGAGGCCACTTCCTGGAGACTGGGAGGCTGGGGCCCTCTTGCAGACCATACCCCTCAGCCCTGCATAGGACCCCACCTCTGAGGAAGCTCCCTCCTGGCCCCCTGGGGCTGTTCTGCCTGAACCCAGGCCCCTGGGATCCCAGCCAGATGGGCACAGCAGCCGTGGTGCAGGACCTGGGTGCAAGCTTTATCTAACCCAGGCTCCCCGAGGCAGGTGAAGGCCAGGCTGTGCTCAGAGCTGTGCCTGCACTTGGGGTGGGGGGAGGGAGTCCTCTTAGGGTGATGCCACCTGTGTCTGGCATTGTTCTGGGTGTCCTGGGGGCCAGGAGGATCTGCCCAGCGCTGCCTCCCTGTCTCCAGAGGCCCTACGACATCCACTCCAGCAATGCTGTGGAGTCCCTGGTGCAGCTGTTCAGCACCGTGAGCGTCCAGTATGTCCCCACGTGGTCCAGGGAGATGGTGGCCTTGCTGCGGAAGGTGAGCCCCCATCCCTGAGCCTCCTTGCCCACGGAGCACCCACTTCCCTCCCTCATTCATCTGTGGCTCGGGGCACCCCCTCCAGTGCACACTGAGTGCCGCTTCCTGGCGGACACAGGTCCCTTCACTGCAGCCTGTGGGGACCTCCACAGATGGCAGGCCCCGAGCCCCGGAAAGCAAGCTGGTGGCAGGCTCTGTGGCCCTCTCACCAGGTGCGAGCCCTACCAGGTCACTGGTGTCCTGGTGATCCCCTGAGCTGTGTCCCCAGGCACCCTCACAGCAGGCTTGTGCATCCGCCCTGCCTGTCACCACACAGGAGCTCTGAGTCAGGTCCCTGTGTCCCACGTATTGGAAGGAGGGTGTGGGGTGGGGTGGGTGGGTTCAAGCCCATGCTATCTCCGGGACGCCTTGCTCCAGTGCCTCCCAGGGAAGGTGGGCAGCCACTGCCCACTGCAAATGCCTCTCAAGGGACGTCAGCCTGGCAGGGACATGGGCAGGGGCGTGGCCATCAGTGGTGCCTCACATTTGTGATCTGGGACTAGGCCGGGGCTGTGTCTTGATTGGCCTGTGCGGCTCCCTGTTCAGAGCCTCACTGGAACACCATGGGGGATTCAGAGTCAGAGCCAGGTGCAGGCAGGACAGGGAAGGGAGCGAGTGTGCCACACGGGCCCAGCTGTCTCCCAGCTCCCATGTCTCAGGCAGGTGGGGCCTCCTGCTTTGGAATTGTAGCCAAGCGGCCTAAAGTCAGGGAGGCCTTGCCTGCCGGGGGCCTCTCCCCAGCCCTGAGAGAGCCTCTTAACTCTGCTTTAGCCCTATGAAGCTCGGCCACACCTGCCCAGGTGGTTCACAAGGTGGCACTGGGCTAGAGAGGGCCTGCGTGGGGACTGGGGATGACCCACACGCCTAAGCCCAGGCCTGGGAAACCTCGCACAGGGTCTGGGTCTGTGGCGTTTTCCCTGGAAAGACGGGAGGTGCCAGCGCTGGGATGCTGCTTCCCAGGCCACGCACGGCTGCCCCGGGCTCACCTGGGAGGTCCCATGCGGTGAAGGGAGTGGCTCTGGAATAGTTACTGTGAGGCCAGCCGCGGGCAGAGTGTTAGCTGCTAGCCAGCCCTCGGCTGCCACCTCCTGGCAAATCCCGGCAGAGCCTTCCCTGCATATCCCTCTGCTGTCCTCTGGAGCCAGGAGTTTGGGCAGCACCACTCAGATCAGGCGTCCCTTGGGCCACATGCTGAGCCAACCACAGTGCTTGGCCTGATGTCGGCACCACCCTTCCTCACGTGGCCCTGAGGTTCCTGAGCTCTGAACCTCAGGCCTGGTGGGACACTCCTCAGGGTGCCCTGACCTGGGGTGCTGGGCTATTCCATGCTGGTGGGCTGTGGGCCCTGGCTGGGGGTGCCGGGCTATTCCGTGCTGGTGGGCTGTGGGCCCTGGGCCCTCTAACTCATGCCTGGTTGCAGCTCCTCACTGTGAACCCCGAGCACCGGTTCTCCAGCCTCCAGGACATGCAGGCGGCCCCTGCGTTGGCCGGTGTGCTGTGGGGCCATCTGAGCGAGAAGAGGGTGGAGCCGGACTTCGTGCCCAATGTAAGCCTGTGGGCAGCTCAGTGGGGGGACCCTGGGCTGGACGTGGCGTCATCCACGGGCCGGGCTCAGCACCCATCCCTCTGTAGAAAGGCCGTCTGCACTGCGACCCCACCTTCGAGTTGGAGGAGATGATCCTGGAATCCAGGCCCCTGCACAAGAAGAAGAAGCGCTTGGCCAAGAACAAGTCCCGGGACAACAGTAGGGACAGCTCCCAGTCCGTGAGTGCCGGGGCAGGCTCAGGGCGCGGTGGCGGGCTGGGCTTGGGGCTCCTCTCCACCACTGAGCAAGGCGTGTAGAGACTCCTGGCAGCCCACACATCTTGGAAGTCCAGACCGTTTCCTGAAGTCCTGAGAAGGCCAGAGACCTCCCTTCTGCATTTCCCAGCTCCCACCTCGCTCCTATGAAGCAGCTGGGCAGGGACAACCAGGGCTGGGGTTGTGAGTGCACGGGGACGGCCATGTGAAGCCTTCAGGCTTGCCCAGGTGTGCTGGAATTGGTTGTGTGTGTGCGGGGACAGCCACATGAAGCCCTCACACTCACCCAGGTGCACCGGCTTTGGTTGTGTGTGCGGGGACAGCCACGTGAAGCCCTCACACTCACACCCAGGTGCACGGCTTTGGTTGTGTGTGCGAGGACAGCCCACGTGAAGCCCTCACACTCACACCCAGGTCTGCACCGGCTTTGGTTGTGTGTGCGGGGACAGCCACGTGAAGCCCTCACACTCACCCAGGTGTTTCGGCTTTGGTTGTGTGTGCAGGGACAGCCACATCAAGCCCTCACACTCACCCAGGTGTGTTGGCTTTGGTTGTGTGCAGGGGCGGTGTGTGTGCGGGGACAGCCACGTGAAGCCCTCACACTCACCCAGGTGTTTCGGCTTTGGTTGTGTGTGCAGGGACGGCCACGTGAAGCCCTCACACTCACCCAGGTGTGCTGGTGTTGGTTGTGTGTGTGGGGACGGCCACGTGAAGCCCTCACACCCAGGCATGCTGGTGTTCTGGGGCCACCAGGACAGGTAACCACGAATCAGGTGGATGAAGAACAGCAGCGCGTCGTCTCCGAAAAGGATCTGAGTTGTAATGAAATGGTCTCCCACACAGCTGGCTGTGTGTGATCTGCTCTTTGTCTCCTGCAGCTCCCCTGTCTTGGTAATTGGCTCTGTCTAGGCAGCGGGCATGGTGAACCCATTGGGCAGTTACGTGATGATCTCACAGTTTCTGTAAACCGGAAGTCCGGGCATGGTGTAGCTCTCCCCCTGCTTCTGGGTCCCACCAGCGTGTAAGCTAATACTGACTGAGGTCGTGGTCTCGTCAAGGATTTGATGGGTGCTGTGGTTGGAATGTTTCCCCTAAAACTCATGTTGAACTTTGTTTCTTATTGTGGTGGTGGTAGAGATGGGACTTTTGGGGGCTGATGGGGCCACGTAGGTTCTTCCAGCATGGGTGGGGCTAATGCTGTTGTAAAAGGGTGACTTTAGTCCTCTTTTGAGTCTTTGCTCCTCTGCCATGTGAGGACATGGTGTTCCCAATGTGGACGTGGTTTGTGTTCTGTGTGAACGTGATATTCACAATAGAGCATCAACAGGCTCCCTTTTAATCAGGAGATTTAAAAAAGAAATAAAAAGACGTTGTTGTCTCATGGTTTGGAGGCCTGAGTCCATAGTTAAGATGTCAGGAAAGGGAGGGAAACCAGTCCTTGCCCCTTGAACCTCCGACAGAGGCTGCCTTGGCCTAGACACATCCCCCCAGCCCCTGCTTCCGCTGCCGCGTGGGGTCTGCCTGTGTGTGCATCTCCACCTCCTCCCCTCTTCTCATAAGGACACCTGGCATTGGATTTAGGGCCCACCCTGATCCAGTATGGCCCCATCTTATCTTGATGATATCTGCAAAGACTTCACTTCCAAATGAGGTCACATTCACAGGTACCCAGGATTAGAACTTGAATGTATCATTTTGGGGACTTAGTTTGGCCCATACCACCAGGATGTGACTGATACTCACCAACGAGTAGCTACAGTTATGTGTTGATGTCAGGGTGACAGTGATGACCCTGGGTCCCTCGGTGGTCCCGTTGCCCCTGGGTCTGCCTCAGCCTGTGGTGGATGTTCTGGGAAACTCTCATGCCCAGGATGAGGTACGAGCCCTCATGGGAGACTCAGGGATGGACAGTGTGCAGAGCCCAGCTGGCCATGCTGAGATCCCAGGAGGCTCTAGGTGGGAACAGGTGAGGCCAGGCACTCATGAGCAGGAGGAGCTAGGCTTTGTCTTGGGTTGGTTGTGGGGAGATGTTTTGGCTGGAGGGTGATAGGTGTTCTGAAAGGAAAGCATCACTCCAAAAAAAAGTCCCACTGTTAACTTGAGGCTGAGAGAGGTTTTTGGAAACAGCTTTATTTTGGTATAATTCACATTCCATACAATAGACAATGCACCCACGTAAAGTAGATAATTCTGTGGTTTTTAATATAGTCACAGGGCTGTGCATCCTCCACCACAATCTGATTTTAGAACCTTTTAACGTGCTGTAAGAGAAAGACGCCACCTGTTAGCAGTCACACCCCATCCCCTTTCCTCCCCTCCCCTGGCAGCCACGAAGCTGCTTTCCGTCTCTGTCGGTTCGCCTGCTGTGGGTGTTTCATGGAAGTGGAGTTACACACTATGGGGTCTTTGCGGCTGGCTTCTTTCACTTCGCAGGATGCTTTTGAGGTCCATCCCTGTCAGTACTTCATTCCTGTTGATGGCTGAGTAATATTCCACATATATATCACCTTTCCCTTATCCAGTCATCAGTTGATGAGTATTTGTTCTTTCCACTTGTTAACATTTTTCATTATTATGAATAATGCTGCTGTGAACATTCACGTACAAGTCCTTGTGTGGATATGTACTTTTATTTTTGGGGGGTGCATACCTAGGCGTGAGCCTGCTGGGTCATATGTGACTCTCTGCTTCATGTTTGGAGGAAACACCTACCCTTTTCTATAGCAGGTGTGCCATTTTATGCCCCTACGAGCAGTGTGTGAGGGTGGTAATTTCTCCATATACTTGCCAAGTCTTGTTATTGTCTGGTTTAATTTTTTTTTAAATTATAGGTATCTTAGTGTGCAGTGATTGTGTGGCTATGATTTGCATTTCTCTGATGATGCTGAACATCTTTTGAGGTGTTTTATCAGGTATGGTGTCTACAGAAATGTCTATTCAAAATTTTTAAAATTTTTATTGTCTTTTTTTAGTCTACTCTGACAATGTATTTTAATTGGCATATTTTATTTTAGTTTATGGTGTTTTTAGAGACAGGGTCTGGCTTTATTACCAAAACTGGAGTGCAGTGGTGCAATGATGGCTCACTTCAGCCTTGATTTCCTGGGCTCAAGTGATTCTCCCTGCCCCAGTCACTAGAATAGCTGGAACTGTAGGTGTGCGCCCCCACACCTGGCTCATTTGAAAAAAATTTTATTGAAGAGACAGGGTCTCATTATGTTGTTCAGGTTGGTCTCAAACTCTTAGAGTCTTCCCACCTAAGTCTCCCAAAATGCTGGGATTACAGACGTGAGCCACTGTGCCTGACCTAATTGGTGTATTTTAGACCATTCACATTTAAAGTGACCATGGAGGCTGAGGCAAGAGGACTGTTTGAGTCCAGGAGTTTGAGACCAGCCTGGGCAACAAGGTGAGACCCATCTGTATTAGTTTATTTTCACGCTGCTAATAAAGGCATACCTGAGACTGGGTAATTTATACAGGAAAAAGGTTTAATGGACTTACAGTTCCACACGGCTGCGGAGGCCTCACAATCATGGTGGAAGGCAAGGAGGAGCAAGTCACATCTTACATGGATGGCGGCAGGCACAGAGAGAGCTTGTGCAGGGAAGCTTTTGTTTTTAAAACCATTGGATCTCATGAGACTCATTCACTGTCATGGCAACAGCACAGGAAAGACCCGTCCCCATAATTCAATGACTTCCCACCAGGTTCCTCCCACGACACATGGAATTGTGGGAGTCACAATTCAAGCTGAGATTTGGGTGGGGACACAGCCAAACCTTCTCATTCTTCCCTGGCCACTCCCAAATCTCATGTCCACACATCTCAAAACCAATCATGCCTTCCCAGCAGTCCCCCATAGTCTTAACTCATTTCAGCATTCACTCAAAAATCCATAGTCCAATGTCTCATCTGAGACAAGGTAAGTCCCTTCTGCCTATGAGCCTGTAAAATCAAAAGCAAGTGACTTCCTAGATACAATGGGGGTAAAGGCATTGGGTAAATACAGCCATTCCAAATGGGAGAAATTGGCCAAAACAAAGGGGCTACATGCCCCATGCAAGTCTGAAATCCAGTAGGGCAGTCAAATCTTAAAGCTTCAAAATGAACTCCTTTGACTCCATGTCTCACATCCAGGTCATGCTGATGCAAGAGTTGGGTTCCCATGGTCTTAGGCAGCTCTGCCTTTGTGGCTCTGCAGGGTACAGTCTCCCTGCCGGCTGCCTTCATGGGCTGGCACTGAATGTCTGTGGCTTTTCCAGGTGCTCAGTGCAAGCTGTTGGTGGATATACCATTCCGGAGTCTAGAGGATGGTGGCCCTCTTCTCAGCTCCACTAGGCAGTGCCCCAGTGGGGACTCTGTGTAGGGGTACCGACCCCACATTTCCCTTCTGCATTGCCGTAGCAGAGGTTCTCCATGAGGGCCCCAACCCTGCAACAAACTTCTGCCTGGACATCCAGGTGTTTCCATACATCCTCTGAAATGTAGGTGGAGGTTCCCAAACCTCAATTCTTGACCTCTGTGCACCTGCAGGCTCAATACCACATGGAAGCTACCACAGCTTGGAGCTTGTACCCTCTGAAGCCATGGCCTTGGACCTTTTTAGTCATAGCTGGAGCAGCTGGGATGCAGAGCAGCAAGTCCCTAGACTGCACATAGCAGAGGGACCCTGGATCTAGCCCATGAAACAATTTTTTTCCTCCTAGGCCTCTGGGTCCGTGATGGGAGGGGCTGCCACAAAGGTCTGTGACATGCCCTGGAGACATTTTCCCCATTGTCTTAGTGATTAATATTCAGTTCCTTGTTACTTATGTAAATTTCTCCTCAGAAAATGGGGTTTTTTTTTCTTTTTTTCTTTTTTTTTTTTTTTTTTGAGACAGTCTTGCTCTGTCACCCAGGCAGGAGTGCAGTGGCACAATAGCGGCTCATTGCTGCTGCAAACTCCACCTCCTGAGTTCAAG